GTATATTTTAAAATCATATTCTTGCACACAATATATGCAAACATCAGCTTTAAAAGTTTCACAGACACCTCAAGGGTGAATTTAGGTTTATTAGAAACCTAATATCAGTTGTCAAATGAGTGCATTTAACTTTATTTTTAAATGTAGTGTTTTTAGAGTCTTTGCAACTGGAATTCAAACTGATAGAAAAAGATAATATTCAGGGATTTTTTTTTTTCATTTAAAGTTTAAGCTGTAAACATTTTGTTCCAATTTTTAAGTCCCCTTGAATCAAGTCTTGTTCATATTTAGGTGCCTCAGTTTTTCAGAATTCAGGAATATATTATGTCATATCATGGGAAATTGCCATTATTGTATGTCAAAACAGTCAAATATTGACAGTTGCATATGGTTCAACCTAAGAAATTTCTTATTGTTTTAGTAATTTCTATTTCTATGTTTTATACAATGTGGGACTATAAGTCTTGTTGAACTAAAGTTTTGACCTTGAAAGAATTGTTTTCTTACTTTTTCTGGGGTGGGGTTGGGAAGGGGTGTGTGTGTGTGTGTGTGTGTGTGTGTATGTGTGTGTACATACATACACATGCATAAAGAGAGAGAAATGCAGTTTGACAAAATAAGCCTCAGAGGGAAAAATAGGTCTTACTATATAACAAAAAATTTTCCTACCATTTTCAGTGTAAAGTGATATATTTGTATTTCTAGGCTTATTTTGGTGAAATGCTAGGTGAAGTGATTGACCAAGAAGATGTTAAAACATGGCTTTCAAATCAGAACAGCAGTAATATAATTGTCTATTGAATTTAGTTTTGAGTTAATTGGTATCAGTGTTAACACTTAATTAAAATGTGTGAAATTTAAATACAGTTGGTAAATTCATTTAATATCTTAACAAAACAGAGAAATATCTGAAGTGGTATTTTGGGCCAAACTAAAAGATGGCATCAGTGAACCTTGATCTATTTCCATTCCTGTACCTTGTATACCTGTATTACTGAACATGGGAATGTAGTTTCCTGTTATGAGGAGACATGGTTATTACTTTTTTTTTTCCTCCCTGAACTGGGGCAACAGATTCACCAAACACATACTTGATCTACAGGTGATCATTTTTGTTTTTGAATTTTTATGTTAGCCTTATTTTAAGTCTTGCAGCAAAACGTTGATTAGAAAAACACACAAAACTTGGTTTTTGCTTTTGAAAAAAAAAAATGCTAGAACAGTGAGGTAGTGTTAAAACTGTTTGAAGGTACACTGTTCATGATGTTTATTCAGTAAATTTACAGGTTCATTTAATTATGAAAGGGAGAAATATATTCTCCCTGAGAAATACGTGGGTGTTTTTTGATGACGGAATTAAATAATTCCTTATTTGTTCTCCTTTTATTTTACGCATCAACCTAAAAATAAAGCAATGTTTGCCTTGTTTTTGCCTCAGGATTAATAATTAGGAGATACTTCTCTTCACAGAGCTAGCATGTTACATTCCTTAGTTTGACCATAATGTCTTGTAGATGAGGAAAAATAATAAATGGTTTTGAGAATAAAACCATTTTTCTTGAATGAGATTAAAATAAATGACAGCATTCAATATTTTTCAAAAATAACCACATCCCTGAACAGCTGCTTTGTTTTTTCTGTTTTGTTTTTATTCCCTGGGCTAATTTGGAATGGGGCCAGTATAATAGAATAGATCTTGGTTTTGACATGACATATACAGATTTGTATATGTGGCCAACTAAATATGATATAGCACTGGAATATTTCTCTATTTAGGTTGGTAAGGGTGCAAGTAGTTTGTATGGCTTTAGAGCTTATGGGCGTTGATAGAAAACACAACAGTCATGGTAGTGGATACATTATGCAGTTTCCAGAATTCTCCAGGTCACTCCCAAACATCTGGCATAATCTGGGAAAGATAATCTTACTATTCAGTTCACTTGTCACTTTATAGTAGTGGTGTTTAGTTTTTGGTTCTTGTCACTAACACAAATGCCTCTCTGGAATTCAGTGGCCACTTTCTAGGTGCCCTAAAAGACCATTGTCAGTCATCATTTTTCTAAAACCGTATTTTAAGAATAAGTGGTATAACACCTAATTCAGGTTAATAAGTTTGAACACTTCCTTTGAAAGGCTAACACAAACAATTTACATACAAACAATTGATTTTGAATCAATCAGAAACTACAGATGTATTTACCTATCTGTATTCTCCTTATCAGTGTAGTGACATATAATGAAGTTGTCCTTTACAACTAGTTCTTAAAGCAAAAGATGAGAAGCAAGGCACATACCCAAATTAAACTTTAAATGAATAGACTACATATTATCTTCTTCTATCACTTTGAATTCCACTTGAATACAGATGCTAGAAAGACACTGGTCCAATAAACTACTGTGTATCCACATACAAATAATCTGATTCTCCTTAAAAAAAAAAAAAAGACTACATACAGGGCTGTATACATTTTATGCCATCTTTTATATAAAGTGAGGGTGGATAAGTAAGTATTTCTATAAGAAACACTGGAAGAATATACAATAAACTAATATAAACAGTTACCTGAAGGAAACTGGGGTTAGGAATGGGCTAGAAAAAAAAAAATCACATTAACCTCAATCAAGTTCAATAGTAGCCTTTATCTCCTCTAACAAAATATCATGATACTGACCCATCTATTTTCCAAATGATGCAGTTGCTTAAAAATCTTAATCATTTTCTTTGAAAAAAATGTCACTGGCATCCTAGTCCCCATCATTTTGGGCAGGGGGAAGAGAAATATTTTCTATTTGACTCTTGTTTTTTTGTTTTTAACTCTTCCTTTCCCATAGTTTTCCCTTTATCCCTACTTTTCTAATTTTCTGCTAATGAGTTTTTGTTTTCAATGTTTTTAAGTTTATAGATCTCATTCAACTAGTTGTGTTTTGTTGTTCTTTATTTTTTAATACTATGTAGGAACTTTCAGATTAGAAAGATTTGTTAATAATCTATGCTTTTAATTAGCAATTGAAGGATTACCATGCCATGTATAGTACAAAGTAGAAAGGAATGTATTTTAGGAAAGACAGGACAAAGGAAGGGACTGGGACTGTGTGTGCTAACTGGGGATGGACAAAAGAGGGCACCGGAAGCCTTCTAGCATTAATGGAATTTAATTAACCAGAAAGATGTGTCTGGTCATGTAGAGATAATATTCATTTCATAGGTTTGTAAATTTCACTATATCTTGAATAAGAATTGCATTTTGGAGTAAAAATAGAGCTATCTGTTATCTAAAGAAGGTAGACATAGGGTGACAATGACTTTATGCTATAAGTCCTCTCCCCACCCCTTCCCCATGGCCCATCTCTCCTTCTGGGGCTGCAGTCTGTGTGAGTTTCCTGGTGCAGGACAGTCACTCCTGGCAGGAAGGCCTGCTGAGTCCTTCCTTCATCCTTGCATTCTGCTGGGTTTTTGTTGTTGTTGTTATGGCCTAACGCTACTCACTGCACAGCACTGCTTTCCTTCTACCAAGTAGAGGATCAAGGCACTAGGTGTTGGACTACAATTTCCTGGATTATTTGGGGGCGAGAATGTGAAAGCAAAACAAAAGTAATCTTTACTTATATGTTTCTCAGGTATTTGTTGCTTTTCCCTCTACCTCAAGTTTTCTTGATTAATTTGGTCTCATACTAAGGATTTCACCCCCATATTTCTTGAGCATTATCATGCTCCAAGTGTCTATTAAAAATTTCAGAATGTGTGGGGCCAATTGTTCAGAGGAACTCTGGTCAAATAACTTCTCTGGGCTTCCACACATTCTAATCCTTTGGCTGCTGCTATCTTGGAAGCTCAGGCAGTGGGAAAAGAACTGTGAGGACAGGTTCAAAGAGCTGAAACTATGTTGAAAAGCTGTCTGCCAAAAACCAGTGTTCAAGTCTTAAAACTAAATTGTTTTTTAAATTCAAAAAATATTAAGATGCATTGTTGAAGGGATTTGAGTCCAATGGGAGATCAAGTGTATGTAAAACTGAATTTTTTTTAAAGTTATTCATTTTCAGTAGACCATAACAAAAAAGCACATGAAACCACAGGGGAGGCTACCTCCCTGCCCTCCCAGAATTTGGATCTATTTTTTAAACAAAATGAAATAGAAAGAGTTTAACTAAATTAGTATGTTAAAGCTTTGGATGTAGGTGGAAGACAAAGGGCACATTGGTTCCCAGAGACTTTAAGGAGTAAATCATAAACTGATAATTAGACCTATAGCTGATCTGACCTACCTATTGAGACTCCTTCCAAACCCCTTAAGACTTTTTTAGACACTGTTAGTTAAATTAAAGTAAAAAGACTAAATGCCTTACATGGGTTACAAGAACGTGCAGGAAACTAAAAAGCATATTTTTCAATTAAATATTTTTGTACTTCTCTTTCCAGTCTTGTCTTCCCATCCTCTCTTTTAAAGATAAAATGTTGGCAGTTTGAGCTCCCAAAAGAAGACAATTCCTCTGATTTTGTAAGAACTTTTCTACTTTCAGTAGCTACAAGGAGTTCAAATTACTCTACTGTGCTTTTTATTACCTAATAACTCTGCAGCTAACAATATCTATTCTCTCTTATAGGGATATGTTTATTCTAAAAATGAGGGCTGATATGATAATATTAGAGTAATACCTTGTTAAAGACAGGACACTTCAAACAATACCTTTATTGTTGTGTGCATCTACTTGGATGCTTTCCTGTTTAATTGACCGACTCCACTTCTCTTCAAATCCAGAAGAAAAAAAAAGTAGTTTGTAAATGATTTGCTTTTTATTTAAGCATTGCTTAGTGAAGATAAGACTATACAAACCTAGCAATCCTATGAGACATGGAAAAAAGTATGCTAGTTTCTCTAAATACATCTTATCCTTTCTGAGAAGTTGTTTAAATAGTCACAACTAGTGCTCATGCCCTCTTTTTCATCTATGCACATTTTTGGACATATAAACCTATTGTTGCACATTTGCATTTCTCCTACCTGTATTTGCTGAGAATCCCTAAGTGCTTGCTGTTGGCTGCTCTGTAAAAGTCACAACTCTGTCATGCTGGTGTGCTCTTCTGTAACACACAGTCAGAAGTTCATGGATGCTCTCGGTTGCAATTCCAGGAAGGGTGAGACCGTCCTCTACTTCCAAGAGCCCTTTTGGGTTGTTTTTGAACTTTATACTTTTTATACAAAGCTCTGCTGAATCATATGCTGGCTACCGAATGATGGTCTGCCTTCTGATTCATTTCCAGGAGAGAATAAATTTCTGTTGTTTTCCAGCAGTCAGTGACTTTTTTTGAGACACGGATGGGGATTGGGGAATTTCACTTATTTGATCCCATGTGTTAATGCAAGAATGGAATGACACCTTGGCATGAACACTTGCATTGGGATGGTTCAAAAACACATTCTTCAGTAGTTTTAATTATTAGATATAACTGTGCATCATGTCTCCCTACTAACCAGCAGTATTAGGGAGTTCCCACAGAAGATTGTCTCCTTATGCCCTTGCTCTGTGATCAGCAATGTTTTTTTAGAACATATATGACTTTTTTGTAGCTGTATTGATTTTTATTCTATATAACTCCTTTAAAAATTAATAGCTCTATTCTTATCAAAGCACAGACATACAACATTTTTATGTAAAGAAGAAAAAGACACTTCTTATCAAATCAAGAATCTTATTCATTTTTTTTCCTCACATGCCTTTTCCTCATTATTTGGCAGTTTACACATACATGACTATTCATTTATTTCTGCCCATTCAAGTCAAAATGTGCCATGCATTAGAGAATGTCCTAAAAGTTGGAGATTGTTTTTCACCATCCTGACAGAGGTCCTTGACATCTTGTGAATAGTTAACTTCTCAGGTTGCTGTGTCTCTGTGCTAAGCTGTAGCCTTTGCTTTCTTTATGGTCCCTGGAGCTCATGCCACCCTGGTGCCCTTTTCTACCTGGTATTATGCTAAATAGAAAACACTCTTTTGGAGGGTAGTTCACTTGCATTCTAAATCCATGGGAAATTTCTAGTAAATTTTCAAAGGGAACTTTTTTCGTTTTTTTTTTTTTTAATCTAGTAGTTACTTAAATTATATAAAAGATAAAAATGGTTCCCTGAAGTGATTTTTATTTGAAGATGAAAGGACTAAAATTCTTAAATGTACTGGTTCAAACCTTGAAATTAGATTTTTTTTTCTTTCTTTCGTGAATTGATCTGGAGAAGTATCTTGCCTTTCTTGGATATCTGAATTTTGGCTTATTAGTTGTTTGGGGGATCCACTATGTGCAGAGTTGTATTCTAGGATGTGGAACTTAGAAAGGATGTGTGAGGAATGACTTGGTTTAGAGAAGATTAGATCACACTTAGACTACTCAGGGCATTCAGTTGCCTTAGAATAATCTTTTTTGTCACATTTGATCACTGCTAATGACTTATAAGTGTGCATCAACATGCATCAGACATTAAAGCAATATACTTTGATTTTAAAAGCATTTGTAAAATTATTTCAAATAGAAAAACCCACAAAATATATAATTTTTATTTTTAATTGACACCTAGTAATTAATTGTACATATATATGGGAAACAGTGTGACATTTCAATACATATATACATGTATGATGATCAAATCAGAGTAATCTATCATTTCAGACATCAATCATTTCTTTTAGGAGCATTCAGAATACTCTCTCCTGTTTTGAAGTATTCAACTAATTGTCAAACACAGTTATTCTACTGTGGTGTGGATCATGAGAAGTTATTCCTTCTATCCACTGAACCCATGTACCCTTGGACTGTCCTCTCTCCATCCTCTAGTCCTCAACCCCCAGACCTCCTAAGTTCTGCCGATCCCTATTCTGTTCTCTACTTTTTGAGATCAACTTTTTAACTTCCACATGAAAGTAAGAACAAGCAATATTTTTTTCAGTACCTGACTGAAAAATATATAACTTTGATTTCAATTAATTATACTCACTTCATTTGATGAAATTCAAATATTTTAGAAATTAATATTCTTTCTTTCTTGACTGTCTTACCTTCCATTAATTTTAAATTCATTTGAATTGTTTATGAATAATATCTGTACTCAGTGGCTTGGAGAGTAGAGCTTTCTTAGAAAACGCAATGCCTGTCTGTGGCCATTGTTGAATAATCACCTTACATAGCCCCCAAGTTTGATAAACTGAACTGAAATGTTTAAAAAAAAATACTATGTACATTTGGTGTTTACTTTTTAAAAATGTTTTTATTTTGTCTTTCTTTAGAGGTAGAAGTCTAGGTCATTAGTTATTTTCTGTTTGTGCTCTAATTTCCATCATATATGCTAAAATGTCCATTTGTAGTCTCATTGCTTTTAAAGGGTAATTTGTTTTGCTCAAACTACTGATTTCCCTTTGTCTTTAGTTTTAACCCTTTTATTTTGATGTTCCTTCGTGTCATTTTTTTTTCTTTATCTTCCTTGGGATTTGTGGGGTTTTTGTAAATGTGCACTGAACATTATTGGTTAGTTTTTGGACATTTTTGAGCCATTATCTCTAAAGATTTACTTATCTAAAATATCCTTAGAAATAATGAACATTCATCTTTTTCTTTTCTCCAGCACAGTACTTGACCCTATAGTAGGTGTTTAATAAGTGATTTTTTTAATACATTAATAAATTTAAATGTTAATATAACTGTCACTGCTGTTATGGTTTTGCATATTTTAATGTTGTGATCACTTGGCTTATTTGCTAATTGCTTACCAAGATTATTATTTTAAGAAGAATGTAAGTCATAAAATCAAATAAATATGTGGATTATTCTCAGGCTTAGAAAAGCATTATTTTGAACAAGGGGTCTAAGACTAGAAATTACAAATAAACACCATTATAGAAGGTCATTTATCATCTAATTATCAGAAATTTGGAATATATTTCCTAAAACAAGTCATTCTGTGTATTAGTAGTAGTAAAGATGATTATGATGGTGATAATCAGATTTCATAACTAGCTTTTTTGAGGAGGTCCTGGAAGGGAAGAATAGATTAGACTTGGGCAATTAATAGTTCATTATGGAAAAGCAAGAGGGCAGCTTATTCCACGTTCCACTTGGCTGAATTCTCTTTCCTATGTACTCTTCTACTTTGCTGTTAGTACTCTACTTTTGGGTTTAAGGATTATTCCAGAACACTTAAGTTCTTCACACTTGCTGCCATATTAGGAACAGTGGGGCCATGTTGGTCAACTAGTGTACAGAAAAACCTTGGGACCACTAGTGTATTGATACATAATTTCTCAGTCTAGTGTTTTGATTCTTGGCCTAATATTGTCACTTTCATCCATAAATCTTGGACTCTTTTTTTTTTCCTTTGTTTTGTTTTAATCTGTAAACAGGATAGTGAACTGGTTGACCCTACTTTGAGTAGGGTCGGTTCCATGATTCATAGAAATGTTGAAAATTCTTTTCTTCATTTTTTATAGTAAAGTGGTTTTAAGTTTTAAAAAAAATTATTACTGTATTATTAAATATTACATTATTAAAAGATTGAATTAATATTATTCTTAGTAAATTTATACTTTTAAATTTTTTATGTTTCTCTATGTAGCAGGTGAAAGTTTAATTATATAAGAAAATTTATTTCTTGAAATTTTAAAGTGTTTATTAATATTCGTCTGTATTTTAAGGTATCAGAAATAGTGAAAAACTTTTTTATGTCTGGATGTCTAGAATTCTTGAAATTTGAGCTTTAGGAACACCTCTTCTCCTTGTTTCTCTTTGGTGTCTAAATGATAAGTTAGAATCATTTAAGATTCTGTTTGCAGGTACTTTTAGCACAATTTTACATTGCACGTATGGCTAACCAATTAGGATAAAATCATTGTTAGAGCTTGAAATATCTTGATTTATTTTAACATAAGAAATTTGATCAGATGAATGCAGTTCACGGGTACAATTATTTTGGGGTGAACTTATAGAATCAATCATTTTTATGTTCTTTCCTAATTTTTTAAAGTTCAAAATTTATGGTCCTTATACTTATCATTTCTAGTGATCCATTATAGAAATAAGTTAAGCATGATGTACTAAAAGTATTAATTAAAAACACTATTAGTGTCTAAACCACAACCTGTCTGAGTACAAACTGTTTAACTATGTTGCTGGTTGCTCACTGTTCACTTGAAATGTATGCCAAAGTTTTTCAGATTTTGTTTAAGGGCAACAAAATCTGAAACTTAGAAAAATGAGATTAAAAAAAAAATAAGAAATTGTAACATTGGCCTTTAACCATCTAAAACGAAACATCGGCACCGATCTGGAGTGGGAAAACATTGAAGGTTTCTTCCAGCTATGTGATCTTTGGGCAAAGAAGCAGAATATTCTAGGGATGCAGTGTGAGGGGGTAGACAGTCTGTCAGTCCCCTCTAGGGCAGTGAGTGTCCTTCAGGTGGAGTGCTCCAGCTGGGCAGAAGTAGCAGGAATGCCATGGAGGGTGAATGTCGTCCTCCAGCTAGGAGTAGCTCAGCACTTTGGGGGAAAATCAGATATAAATCAGATACAGGTGAACCTATCCTCTTGGACTCTCTTTTCCTACACATTGTTTTGTTAATTGTTATTGTTATGAACTTTTCATTTTGGAATGATCCCTAGATTTACAGAAAAGTAATTAAAACAATCTGGAGAGATTTTGTATATTTTTCACCCAGTTTCTTCTAACGTTAACGTTTGTCAAAACTGAGAAACCAACTTTGGATAGTACTCTTCACTAATCTCCAGACTTCATTTGGATTCCACTGGTTTTTCCTTTTTTTCTGTTCCAGGATCTCATCCAGGATACCACATTACATTTAGTCATCACATCGTATTAGTCTCTTCTAGTCAATGACAATTTCTCAGTCATTTTCTTTCCCATGACCTGAGAGCCTTGGAACCCTGGCCAAGTGTTTTGTAAAATGTCCCTCTGTTTGGGTTTGTCTGATGTTTTTCCCATGACTGGGCTGGGGTTGTGAGTTTGGGGAAAAACTTCTGCAGGGTGAAGAGCCATCCTCATCACACTAGCAGGGACACAAACTGTCAGTATGACATCACTGGTAATGCTAACAACCTTGGTTATATGACCAACACAGCACTTACTAGTTTTCTCTACTATAAAGTTACTCTTTCCCTGCTCTGTTCTTTGGAAGTAAGTCACTAAGTCCAGCCCACTTTCAAGATTGGGAGGTGGGAATTACTCCACTGGCTAGAGTAGGGACAATTATGCTTCT